CCAAGGTATTTAGTGATAGGACTTAAAATTTTCTTAAAACTTCAATTGAAAAGCTAAAAGCAACCAAAAATGGAGAGTGACATTGGCTTACAGTAACATTGTGGTTAGTTGTCTCTTTGGAGGACCGCGGAAATCTTCATTGACACGATGTTCTAGTATCCAAACCACCACTGCTATCACCAGAAAAGACAATCCAGTGACAACCCACATTTCTGGTGTAAATGGCTTTAGAAATACCCAGGCACTTGATTTTGAATCATCCACGGGACCCACTATCGCAAGCCCACTATCCATGTAAGGTTGTGTAAAATCCACAATCCTCGTCCTGCTTGTCACTATAGTAATGTCCCCAACAGCTGCATCAAAGTTCTGCCAAAACCCTTAAGAGTCACTAACTTAATGGTGTGTTAAAGAAGAATTTCTCCGTGGAGAAATAAAGAACAAGTCTAAAGTTAATCTCTAATGTGGGGATATGACTTACATCATCTGCAACCATTTTAACAAGGTCGTCGTAACTTGGATTGGAGAGACCATTTCCAAAAGGCACAAATTCAAAATGGATATCATAGGGAAGTAGGTTACTTGCTTCCGTAAACACATCAATGCAATAGCCCTCCATCTCATTCCTGTCATTCAATCTTGCAAATTCGGTGAAAACGGTTCTCCTTGGAACTCCAACTCTATACGGTTTCTCATTGTTGGCAAGAAGCCAACCGCGCGGTCTTAACCTCACCCCACCCGGCCAGACAACATTTCCAAGTTTCTTCTTCTCAGATGCTTGGGTGCTGTTTGGGAAGGGGTTTAAAGGAGGTGGCGAAATAGAGAGACTGGAAGAATTTGACCAATAACCAACCGTGTGAATATTTCCTTCTGCAATATTGAATATTTCATAACCCCTCCCGGCCAGGCTTTGGAGCTCATCAAAATGGACATTACCTGTTACTCCTATGAAGTTTGTCTGTGTTAAGATCTTAAGAAGATGCTCTCCTTCTCCAAACACTTCAAATCTGTCAAAATGTGTGTCACCTTTGCTTAAAGAAAAGGTAGGGTTTATTCCCTCCCGAAGAAGAGTATCAATTCCACGTGCTATGGCCCACACAGTATCATAAGCATACATTGCATTTGTGATCAACTCGGAATGCACAAAACCCGTCTGCATCAAATGTCTCCAGCGAGACAAGAAAGTGTCTTTCTTTCTTGACTTAGGAATATAAGGGCGAAGGCCTACTACTCCTTCAAGAATTCCTAAAGAAGATTGGTTTTGAAGGGCTGACTCTAAACTAGAAGAAAGCCAATCTGTTGCAAACCAAACATAATTGCTACCCATCATGCCCAGCTGATGTGCTAAATTAAAGAATCTCAACTTTGAATCCGGGTATATGTGGACAACATAAACACGTGGGCCTAAGAATTTTGAGCGGTTTAGTACTTTCGTTACTTCACTCGAGTCAAAGTCCATAGACAAAGGAAACTTGAAGTGGATCTTTGACATTCCCATGGCAAGTTGATCTCCTAAATAAGATATCCCATTTCTTCCATATTCATCATCCACAAATATGGCAATCACTTCTTTCCATTCATACAAGCAGATGAGGTCAGCTAAAGCTGACATTTGGAAGGAATCACTTTGTGTCATCCGAACGAAAAATGGAAATTGAGATGAAGATAGGGTCGGGTCCGTGGCAGAAAATGAGAGGAGAGGGATTGAAAGACCAGTGGTTATGAAAGAGATCATGTGCGTTAGTGCTGAGGATTCTGGGCCTATTATTGCCACTGCTTGATCATCAATAACCTGAAACACTGGCAGAGCAATTTTGGGTCGTCAAAACTAAATTTTGGGTCAAGAACAAGGATTTGGTTTGTTGTAATCACTTGAAATTGAACTGCAACAACATGAATTGGCCAAAAGGACACACTGAAGAGCTAATCATCAAACTATCTGTTTGATCATCAACCCAACTTACTCAAAAGAAGATGAATTCTTGAAACACTTACCAAGATTTGATCTTTTTAAAATTTCACACGTGATATATAGCTACTGTTTCATCATTTACCTTTTTTCTTCCGGAAAAAAAGAAAAGAAAAGAAAAGAAAAGAAAGAGGTACCTCCCATGGCAGCTGAAAAAGCACTGGAATTAGCATCCACCGTGGTGAGAGTGAGCTTGGTGGCATTGAGAAGGGTGGGGTCCGCATTGACATCGGAGAGGGCAATGTCTAGGGCGGCCTTCGCCGCCCTCCCGATGACTGAGCTGAGGGTGAAAACTGCCCCAACATTCACAACCTCGGGCGGCGGGGGCGTCTGACCGCACTTGACTGTCACCGTCGTCAGCAAACCCAAAACCAAGAAAACAGCTGCCGACCCTTGAAACTTCATCCCTTTTTACTGTGCCTCTTCAAGGGACAGCAGAAGAGCCCCTCATGAAACCATCAGGCTAATGAAGGAACGCTATTCAAGGTCTAGATTCTTTATTTCAACTTGTGCCCGCACGGTGACAGCAACAGTATAGGTAGAACTGTAGGAGTGGTACTGGTCTTAGTTATCCTTGTCTTTTTGAGAAATGGATATGCATCCTAAAATTGTCTTCTTATTTAATATTCATTATATCAAATTTTATTCATTTTGTTAGCTTATTTTTTATACTTATTTGATAAGAAAACTTAATCATATCACATTTTGTTTTGTATTCCGTAGTATTTAGTTTTTATTTCTAAATTCCACACAATCTTTCTTATAAAAAGATTCAAAATAATCTAAAACATATGTGGCAAATCTTTTTTCTTGCTATCTAAGACACACACACATGCATCCCTATCATGTTCCATTTTAAAATGATCCGAAACATATGCGGTAAAAAAATTCTGTCATCCCAAATAAAAAAACATTATAAGAATAAAATCGAGATATTTAGAATCGGGATAGCATGATCAAAATTCTCACCAACTCCTAAGTATAAGAGTTTTATATACTCCGTACTCCGTATGTATTTTCCATCATCTCCGATGGAGCCAAAATTTCACCTGTTTTTGGCTTTGGGTGTGATGGAATAAATCAAAATGGATATCTAAACTATTTGCGCTTCTTTAATTAATGAAGTAGCAGTTAGTCAAGCAATGCAACTTTCGACGTTGAGCTGGGGGTCTCTTTGGAAACAGCCTCTCTACTTTCGAGCAGGGGCAAGGTCTGCGTACACACACCCTCCCCAGACCCTACTCTTGTAGGATTTAACTGGGTTGTTGTTGTTGTTGTACTCCGTATGTAGTACAACATAGCTCTTTGTGCACCAAAGGGAGGTGATCTCTCACAAAGATTATACTCCCCTATCCTTAAATATATGGGCCAAACAGCTCTCGTGCCCCCTGTGGTTTGGAAAATTGGCACCAAAACCCCCTCTGTTTTTTAAACCTATTTCTAAAGTCCTCGTGGTTTTAAAACGTTGCACCCACACCCCCTCTAACCATTTTCCGGCCATTTTCCGGCGAAGAGGGGGCATTGGTGCATAATTTCTAAACCATAGGGGGCATTCGTGCTCATTTCTTATTTTAGTTTATTATTTGTGTTTTCCCTCTTTTTTGAATATTTTGTATCTCTTTTTCCTTTTCCTATATTTTTTTAAAAATATATTTTCAATTTTTATAATTTTTTTAAAAATTTTAAAATTCTTTGTGTTTGAAATAAAAATAAAAAAATTAACATACATTACATCTATCTCAAATTAAACATTTTCACTTTTTTTTAGAATAATTTTTTGGAAAGTTCGAAAAAACCCAGAATAAAAAAAATAAAAATACAGAAAAACGAAATGAAAAATTAAAATACGCAAAAAAAAGTCGTATACAAAAAAATTTGGACACACCTAAAAAAGTTCTTAGAATTGAGATGTCCAAAAAAGATATTCATTTTAATTTTTGAATTATTTTTTTCTTATTTTATTCCTCATTTTTTCAAAGTTCTCAAAAAAAAATTCTTTTTTTTCAGAAAAAACAAAATTTGTTAATTTCAGACGTACATATGCATTATATTTTATTTTTTGAAACAAAAATAACTTTAAATTTTAAGAATATTATAAAAACAATTTTAAAAAACCCTAATTAATAAATGAAACAAAAAAAGGAAAAATAGAAAAAACAAAAAATAAACGAGAAATAAAAATCAGCATTGATACCCCCTATGGTTTAGAAAATATGCACCAATGCCCCTCTTTTTTCGCCGGAAAAGTGGCCGGAAAATGATAAGAGGGGGCACGGGTGCAGCATTTTGAAACCACAGGGACTTTAGAAATAAGTTTTGAAAATAGTGGGGGTATTGGTGCCTGTTTTGCAAACCACGAGGGGTACCGAGGCTATTTGGCCTTAAATATATGTCATGTTTACATTATTTGGTTATTCTAAAATAAATGTGTCGTTCATTCTATTTTAGGAAAGAAATGAGTGGATTATATTATTTCTCCATCCTCTTCACAAACTTCACCAAATAATTTATTATTTCTAAAACTATAGGTCTATTTAGGAATAACTTTAGAGATTAACATTAGCATTTTAGATAAAATTTCAACGTTGCAGATTATTTTGAAATCGCTAACGCTAAATGCTATCTGTAGATAGCATTTTGAAAACGCTAACGCAATTCTGAATTCCCAAACAGACCCTATGAGAAAATCAAAATCAAATCAAGACATTAACTTAGAGATAGATGGAGACATGGAGTACTATGATTTATCCCTTCACTCCTTTGTCAAGTCGAAAATTATTCCGTAATTTATCCATTCATTCCTCGGTTGGGTCGAGATATGACGACATCTAGTGTGGGTGCTCCACCTTTTTTTTATAGTTTGCAACTTGAAGTATCAAAATTATATCGTTGTACCACAAGATCATTGGTAGTTCGAAAGAATATTTATTTCAATTCATAAAGGCATATAATGTGGAATATAACTATTGATCGGGCTCTAAGAATTACAGTACAATTAAGTCAAGTACAACAACATACCATTACAATAAGTACAACAACAATCAATTAGCCGAGACCTCTTTGGAGAAATACAGGACTACAAGTACATATACATCCTTGTTTCTTTCTTTTTTCAACCTGAGAGTGGTACAATGGCTCACCAAAAAAATACGGAGTACATCATAACATATGCAAATTGTCATTGACACTGCGAGATAAAGGCCTAAGAAGAGTTAACAAGCCTAGTTCATTTGTTCCCTGGTGTACCTACCAACAACAACAACACCTAGTAAAATTCTACAATAGTAGAAGAGTCTAGAGAAGGAGTGTATATGCATACCTTGCCCCTGCATTTATTCATCTGCTCATTTGCCAATTGTTTTGACCATCCCTATCTCCAGGCTCAAAATTTTGTGAATGTTGAAGTTGTTGATTTTCACAAGGCAGTTGAATGGGTGTTGCGTTTCCATAAAACGTTTCAAGGTCATAGAACTCCCGCTGTTCAGGCAGAAATATATGTACCACAACGTCACCTGGAATTTATTAGCACGTGTATCAAACTACAAATTCTCTCACCTCTGAAAAAATGAACCTATATTTGTTTAGTGAGTGTAAGTCTTGCACAAAAACATGCACAACATAGTCTCACAAAGCTCAGCCCATGACACTTAATTATCAGTTATCGGGTCAAAAAACTTTTTTTGTTAAAAGCCTCAAATTGAGTAGAAAGCGAGGCATTTTGAAAGTCGGCCATTTTTTAGCCAAGAAAAATTAGTAAGTGACAGGTACCACAACGGCAAGCTCCGTGAGTCTCACACAAGTTTTACTCATGTTCTTACAAGCAATGCAAGTAGCATGCAACTAAGCACAAGATATGCACAATGAAGAGTGCAGTTGGTGTAGGAAAATTTTACAAACCGAAGTCCAGCAAAGTCCATGAATTTGGTTTTAAATCTCCAGATGCAATTGTTCCAAACTGCTTCTCACCCAAATCTCTGATTTTGGTCCTACATAAGGATACCATCTCCTAGTCAAATGGTCTGAATATTTTGGTCTTGTTACAGCAGTATTAAAAAATGTTAAAGGTGTGCTGTTATACATGATGGCGTCAATTTGTGGGCGAGAAAATGCAGTGGCAATGATGAAAAACCTAGTCCAATAAACCAAAGGCTTCACAAAAAGAACTTTTATGTCTGCAGCCTTCATGTCATTCGCAACATTAGCCGCTGCTAAAGCAACTGAACAATGACATTAAAACAATGTCATCAAACATCAATTATTCATGGATTTCATGTCCGCTCATCTGAAACATAAACTTCCTTATAAAATAAAATAAAAAGACAGAAAAAATTTGAAACAGGCAGAAGGGACATAATGCTAACACCAGATTTTAATTGTATCATTTGTATGTTTGCAAATATCAAAGTGTTATCATTGACAATGATCATGGCTTAACAGTCTTTTTTGGCAATGATCCGGGAACATAATAGGTTAAATCAAAATGGCACATGAAACTTTAGGGTCTGTTTGGTATACGGAATTGATGGAATTGGAATTGAATTGGAATTGAAATTCCATGAGATTCAATTCCATAGAATTGAATTCACCAATTCCAATTCATTTTTTGCACTATCAATTCCAAATCTATATAATTTTTGTGGTACCAAATACCAGAATTGGAATTGAAGTCCTCAATTCCAATTCCATAGTTTGAATTCCGTTTACCAAACGGGGCCTTAATGGCTTCTTACTCTCCATGAAGCTTTGGGCAATAAATGAAGCAATGCATTTAGGGTCTAATGAAAACATCTTTTCTGTTTTTATAGGAGTACGACTACGTACATCTTGACCCCCCAAATCCTATTACGATTATGCTGGATTGCTGTTTTGACAACTATCAGTGTTATTGGAGCAAGTCTTATATTCAAAAGATAAGAAATTTTCCTACAAATATTGCCAATTCTACTAAAAGAAGGGTAAGAATTACACACACACACACATTCAGGACGTGGAATCAAAACTGTGAGGAGCTTACATGATAGGCTTACAGCATCGTCCTCAACCTCCTCACTCGCAGGTTTATGGTCACTTCTTCTAAACACCAGCTCTCCATATTTTTCAATCAATTCATCAAGCATATCATCACTTATACTCTGGCATTACATGGTAAAACCAACACCAATCAGAAAAATGCAGCATCAATCACGCAAAATAGCAGGATCCAGAGAATCTAACCTTCATAGAAGAGTAAAAATATAAAGAAATAATCAAACCACATCATTCCGATAAAGTAGAAAACCTAAATGTCATAGCCATACGATTAGTGGGGGAAAAGGCGAATAACGTACAGAACCAGATCGAGAAGACACGGCGGAGCAGGGCGGGGCAGAGATTAATCCAGGACATAGGAGAGGGGTGTAATTAAGTGCGGAGAAATGAAGAGCGGTAGGGTTAGAAGACGGAGGGAAACTCAGTTGCCGAGACTGGCCCGGATGGACCGAATTGGAGAGCCGGCAAGGAGAGAATGCTGAAGATGCACATAAGGACGAGCAGTGATTCATATACATGACCAGGTGCTTGTATTCGGCAACGGAGGTTACTCAGTGACGAAGAGGAAGAAGAAGAGAAGGCGAGTGAAAAGATAAACAAGAACGAGTGGCGGGTAGACCTGGCAATAGGGTTAATAGGTTCTGGTGGGGTCTCATTCGGATACATGTTATAATTGGTTCGGGTCGTTTCGGTTCGGGTCAGTTCGGTTCCGGATTTATTTCGGTTTGACTGGTTTTTTATTTTGCTTCGGTTTCGGTTCGGGTTTGTATTGGTTCGGGTTTATATCGCATCGAATTTATATCGGTTCAGGTTTGTATCGATTCGGGTTTGTGTCGGTTCGAGTTTATATCGATTCGGGTTTGTATCGATTTAATATTATATTAGTTCAGATATATTTTTACTACTAATAAATCAATAATATCAGTTAACAAATTTAATCAATTTATGATATACTCCGTAGTTATTTTATTATTTAATACGGACGTACATAAAAAATAACACTTACATAATTGACTAATTGTTTACTCCCTCCGTCCCACTGTCTTTGTCCACTTACCTTTTGACACACCATCCAATGCACTTCTTTAATCCATTTTATCTTGTAATTTGTATATTAAAAAATTATAGAAATTATATATTAATAATCTATATGTTAAGACAAATCAAACAAGATCACACATAACTATATTTAGGCTTACACATTGAGAGAATTTGATGAGTCAAAGTGCTTAGATGAACAGTTCCAAAAATCAAAAGTGGACAAAGACAGTGGGACGGAGGTAGTATATTCTAAAGTTTTCCTTCTTAAAGTTTTCGGCGCGATCTTTTTAGTTAACATTATACTTCGTACTTCCTTTATTTCTATTTAACTATCCATTTCACTCTGAGTGTCAAATTTTTGAATAATTATATATAAAAATATATAATGAATTAAAATATACAAAGTAAAAGTTATTACCAAATTGTTGGTATTAAAAAGACACTTTAAATGTATTATTTTTAATATTTTTTGCTAGTATTTTTGAAGAAACAGTGTTGGTCAAACTTTAAGTTCGAAGGCGATAAAATACAAAAACACTTTACCTTAAGGTATAAAATATGGAGTATAGGATTTGTACATGAAAGTAGTTACACTGTTTGCACTCATAATTTAAATACTCCGTATGTTTTTTTAGAAACACATCAACATATGTAAAAAATATAGGTAATTCTTTTTCTCCAAGTTCATTTGATAAATGAAATACTAATGAATTTGATCAATTTCGGATCTAATCAGTTTCGGGTCTAATCGGTTCCAGGTTTAACAGGGTTTGGGTTTAATCGGTTCAGGTTTAATCGGTTCGGGTTAAATCAGATTCGGATCTGAATCGGGTTTGAATACATTCGTTCGGGTTCGATTCAGTTCAAATCATTTTGGATGTTCGGTTCTATTTCGGTTTTTCAGTTTTCGGGTCAATTTTTATTCGATTCCGGGTTATTCGGTTCGGGTTATCAGGTCTGGGTCAATTTTGCCAATGGCTATAAGAGCATTCATAGTAAGAAATATGAAGTATAGAATGACACATGGTGGATAAAATGACACACCGTAAGAAATATAAAATGACACAGGGCGTAAATTACAATGAATAAAAAACAGTCCACTTAGTGTGTGGCACGGGAGTGGAGTGTCAAGTCATTGTTTTTATCAATTTTACTTTTTTTACACATTTTAATATATTTCAATTATTTTGTTTATATTTTTATAAACTATACTCTTTTTAAAAATATTTCTTATTTAAAAAAATACACTAAAAAATAAGAAAAAATAGGTGTTTTTCAAATTTTACATATTTTACATATATCTTATTTTTACGAGGAGTATGAAGAATTAATTTACTTAGGTATTTTTCCAAAAAAATACGTCCACTTTATAAAAAATCTTTTTTATGGAAAAAAAAGAAAGCACAGAACACTTGCCTCGCCCATGACTTGCCAAGCATGGCAAATCTCTTCAGCCTCGCGAGGCATTTTCCTAATCCCGCTTATGTAGCAGGCGTGGCAGTCGCAGTGCGAGTTCTCTAAACGACTAAACCTATAGTAGAACGTACTCCTTCCAAAACTAATATGTAATATCGTATCCCAGCCTCCCAAATTAATTTTCATACTTTGAGAGTTTGAGTATATATTCTAATATAAATTTATCATTTCTTAAAAGAAATGAAATAAACACTACATATTGATTTTCACTCTTTTTTATGAAAAGATTAATTTGGAACAAAGAGACAAAAATTACTATCGGGTATCTCTAGTTTTGTAGTAAGAATTACTAGGTATCTTAAATTTTCAAAATATACTCACATGTACCTTATATTTTGAAAAACTTACCAAAAAGAGATTTTTCATCCACCATCCATTAAACCCATTTTCTCCCTCAATTTCTTCTTCTTCACCTCCATCTTCTTCTTCGTTCTTCCTTCCCCTATCCACAGAAGAAGAAAAAGGAGGAATAGGATGAAGAACGAAGAAGCTAAGAAAATGGTGATGGTACGACGATGGTACGGTGAGGATGATGATGATGATGAATTTGACAGAGAAAATAGATTTAACGGATGGAAAATCCCTCTTGGTAAGTTTTCTCACAATTTAAAATATCTGTGGGTATATTTTAAAAATTGGAGATACCTGAATACACGATAGTTCTTACAACACAACTATGAGTATGCAGCAGTATTTTTCTGACAAAGGGTACTAAAAAAGATATTTAGTTACTTCGTATATTTTAAATTTAATATAATTTAATTCATTTTAAAATTTAGTTTTGATATATCAACTTTTTTATTCTCCATAACATTTATATATTTTAAATTAGATTTAAAAAATTAAATTAGAAGTAAAACATACCGAATGTACCAAAATAAGAGAGTATATTTTTATTTTGAAAATATAAATTAAATTTTTAATAAGGATAGTGATAGAATTTAGGATTGGGTAATAAGACACTTAGGTTGAACCACAATAAAAGTTTGAACCCAATCGATTAGTTAGTTCAACTCAAGAGCTTATATACCGATTATTTTGCTCTTGAACTTCCGATGTGGGATGACACTCTAACACTCTCCCTCAAGTGGACAACCGATTGAACCATTTTGAATCTAACCGTTTGACCACTTGCAAATAAATTCACATTCTCTTGATTTTTTTTAGCGCCAACATCTAAAGGACCACGAGCCGCTGGGTATGGACTTCCAGACGAGCAATCATGTTAAACGGGCCTCAGGCCGTTGGGTACATACTCCATACGGACAACTAGGCCAAAGACTAATAGGCCGCTATGAATGAACGTCAAGAGTAGACACCTTGACAAACGAGGTGGGCCAAAACCTGCTCCGATACCTTGATAGTGTCAATTTACAATGCCAAAAAATATGGTATAATACCAACAAACAATGTCACATTATCACAATACAAACACCTATTTTGGAGAAAAAAACATGGATCTCTATTTTGAGAATAAGGGTTGTACTTTACTCCTATTCGTTTTGAGCGATTTTTTACAAAATATTTTTAATTTGTGGCCACAAAGTGTTACAATTTGACCCAAAAAACTCATAACATTCATTTTTTGAGGGAATATCAAAAAGTTTAAGAAAGGCGTGAAAAAAATGAAATGTGTGGATAAAACTTTGTTTTTTACGCACAAATAGTCACTGCCCCTGTCTCAGCTGGAGTTCAAACGTGGGCGAACTTCCTCATAAATCATGTGGAGTGGACTTCCTACTACTCAAGTCACGAAAGAAGTTCAAATAAAAAATTGTTTTAAAGAAGAATATTATGAATGACTCTATTTGTACAAAAGTGACTTTTTTAAAAATGAAAAAAATGATAAATATAAATTGTTTTTAAACAAAAAAAAGAGAATATTCCCTTTATCTATTTTATTTCTTTTCAGTTACGTTATTCTACTTCGGGCATACGGCCTTCTGATAACTTTTGTTTGTTTGAATATTTTCCTAAACATATAACAAGAGAGAATATTCTTATCACATCTATTTTTTTGTAGAGGCCGGTTTTGGTGTAGTTTTGAACAACATAATGTAACTGTACTTTTTATTGATATACAAATTTGTGAATAGAGTAATTTTAAACAATTAAGATTTTACAGGTTGTTCGAAATGAGAACAAAAGATATATGAAGAGAGTTTAAACTTTAATCCTTCTTCTTGTTAGCAGGAAAATGTTCGCGCCCCAATGTTATAGCCAACTATCGACACAAAATCTCATATGATCTCTAGAAGCTACGATCTCGCCACCAAATAAGGTCGTAGCCTATTTCTGTCAAATTACGCGCAGCTTGATCTTTATTTTGATCAGACCTTGTTTGGTCGTCGCCTATATATATATATATATATATATATATATATATATATATATATATATATATATATATATAGGGTTTATATATGAGAAATTTACCTAAATAGGACTAAAACATAATGACTTTCCCAATATAGGACCATATGTTTTTATTTCCCAATATAGGACCTTTGGTCATTATCAAGTAGTCATTATTCAACTAAATGTTCATCGTTACTGGACATTATTCCTTCGACAAGGTCATTATTAAGTCCTATTTAGGGAATAAAAAAGTTTAAGTCCTACATTAGGAAAGTCATTATGTTTTAGTCCTATTTAGTGCAAATTTCACTTTATATATTCAAGTATAAAGAGTATATTCTAATAATAAATCAACACAACATTGATATTATTCATTTCAAAGTAAAAAAACTCTCGTCTGGCACAACACATCATACAAGTGAAACTCATAAGGTGTGCAATTATATATTGCACACACAAACCACTACTTTATTACTCTCTCATAACATACACAATCGATCACATAGTATACTATGCTAGTGTCTCGATATGTGTATGTCACAATTTATTATTGGCATAAACTTATAAGAACAAACTTATTAGAGCATGCATGCATTATATAGCGACACGTTCGAACATACAGTGTTTGATCTTAACGATATATCGGAACCGCGCGCCATCCAAATCAAGGTTTGGCATTAACAACGACATCGGTTTCGTTGTCAAACTTGACGGGACCACAGTCGGGGTGGCAGTTGCTTTGACACCCACCTCCACAGTGGGCACATGTAAGGCCACAATACCCCCAGCGGCTGCAGCAATGGTTTCCGGCGCATGTCCTTCCGCCGGCTTGGGATCCACAGTTTTGGGCTAATGTTGCCGTCAGCAACATGGCCAAAACCATGCCAATAACAAGTGTTGATGATGATGAAGACAGCTTCATTTTGGTTTCCTCTTCTGGCTAATGATGTATGAATGCTTATTGTTAGAATGGAAGTATGGTAGCTTAGCTTGATGCATGCATGTTACGTTTATATATATATGCAGAGAAATTAAAGTTTTGAGTGAAAAATTAAAATAATGCCGGTTTTGAGATGAGTACGTAGTAGTAACAAACGAACAAACACGTAAATTAATTAAATGGAGCTCATCTAAATATACGCCACGTACCTGCATGCATGCATGCTGTCTCATCGCTGCATGTAATGCACGTATTTTCCTTGTTACGAAAAAACTCTTCTCCTTGAGGTGTCATTTGATCCACCGTACGTCTCCTCAAATATACAAGTATATCTGGTGCATCTAGTAAAACTTTTCAACTTGGAATGAGAAAAAGAAGAAAACATAATTTTAATATAGAGTAAGGATTTCCCTGTTTAGTCCTTTATTATCAAATATTACCCTCGTAGTCTTTTTTTTAAAGGTGCCTTTTCACAAATGGTCCTTGTTTTATCTTCTATCATGTTGGTGTTAATTTAAAAGCTAAAAGTATAATTTGACATCAACATTATGTCTAGTGACGTGTTCTGATATTGGTTAAGCGTATAACACTAAAATAATGACTATTATTGTGGGCTAGGATCCGACGAAAGACCACATTTGTAGACTATAGTTGTAGTAGAAAGCGATTGTAATTCACAAACGGCGCAAACGGAACACCCTTTGGAATTGTGTATGACAAAAAAGATATATATTATCATTGTGAAATTACACTTTTAGCCTTCAAATTAACACCAACATAATTGAATATCAAAAAAGGACTATTTGTGAAAAGATACCCATAAAAGAAGGATCACTGAGGTAATATTTGATAATAGAGGACTAAATAGGGAAACTCCCTTATTATAAAGGGCCAATTATGAAATTTACTCTATATTAAAATTATTTTTTCTTCTTTTTCTCATTCCAATCAACTAAATATAAGTGTAAAGTGTTACATACGAATTTGGGAGTATTATATAAAAATGCATTACCTAGCCTTTACTTTTCTTAAATATGAGTATTGCCTTATTATATTAGTTTTATTAAATAATTATTATTTATTTTTGATACTAATAAAAATTAATACACATAGAAAATTGAAAATGTGACGGCATATGCAAGATGATATTGAAAATTAATTAATGGAAGAGTGAAAAACACAAATATAATATCTAATATTAATATAATATAAAATATTATTCTTTTAATTAAAGTTAACCAAGCCGTTGACCCTTGGATTGACCGGTTAATCATTGACCCAACAGCTCGTCCAAGTCAACGTCTTGACCAATTTTTAAGAAAATTGTTTGGGAAGGTAACTATTTATATACTCTTGATTACGAGTATAATATTGTATGTCATTTATTTATTTAAATATAATTAGCTTATACACTTAATAGAATCTATTAAGACATTAAAAATAAGATCTTTAGGGCCTCTTTTTCTGTCTCGGCCTAGACCATCGTGTTCTCAGGGCCGGCCCTGCTTGATGTAATAGATAAAAGTAGGAGGTGATAGATAAATTATTAATAAAACGATATGATGTGATAGGTAGGGTAAAAGCTAGTAGGAGTACCAAGCGGACCCTAAAAATGTACTCCGGGTAAATTAAATTGGAAGTGAATGACACTTCTTATGGATGCTGACAAGGAGCATTTTGACCAATTTCATAATATTTGAAAAAATTAACCCATACCCCCCTCCCCACACACACACACACACAAGAGCCAGCTGAGTCGCACTCAAAGAAAATGCACAAATTTTAGGATGGAAGCTACGGAGTAGTTTGAAACTCCATTTGCAGAAAAAAACACATTTGAAGTAAGTATTATACTCTATAGTTTCAAACAATTTTTAATTTAATAATATAGATTGCCCTTGAAAATTGAAAACTTCACCAAAGGATTACAAATAAAAAGGTAAAATTAAGGCCCTCTGTCCCAAAAATTAATGTTACACTTCACTATTCAAAAACCACAAAAACTTTTGTTAATTTATACATCTTCATTGATTATTCAATAAGATAAAATAAACTTGTCATATCTATTTATATAACTTTTGACATAGTTTTAAAATATGTAAGTTTTATTTTATATCAATCTATAAGTAATTTAAAAACTTAAAAATTCACTTCATTTGGCACAATAACATTTTTTAAGACAGGAGAGAATTAAACATTAAAATTTAAAGAGTAATAACTCTTATTTAGATAAATGGGAAATGAAGAAAAAATGTAGAGAAAAAGTGTGGAGGGAAACATAATGTGTGAGCCGCAAAACTTCAGGCAGCCAAACGCACGATTAAGAGGTCCAAAACTTGGTATATAGAGAAGATTGTACACAGGGGCGGGGAATATGAGAACCACAAATGGCAATGTGTCGTTTTGGCATCTTTTTAAAGGGATTGAGAAAAGGCCAAACTTGAGGGCCTGTGTAATCTTTATTTGGATAAAGAAGGTGAAAAAAACACAGCTATCACTGAGCAGAAAGAGATACTTAATGCCCAAATTGAAAAGTTAATTCATCCATTTTACACTTACTCACCTACCAGCGTTGAGTGCAAAATTGCAATGTTCTATTCATTCCCAAAATTGCAATGCTCAAAATGTGCGCGTATGAAATATTTTCGTTTATTCTCCACTCTCGATGAGTTCAGCGAATCCAAAAATTTCACCTGTGCACTACTTACTGCATTGTGAACACAAAGATCAGAGCAATCATCACTCACTGCTGCGTAGACAATTGGCGAATAACATAAGGAAGAATGCCCCCGTGACCGAAGTATGCCAACTCCACCTGTTGTTAACAGACACAGAAAATTGAATTTTCAAAACTAAGACCAGAATTTCCTTTGACGCAAAACAAAGCAAGACAGATGATGCAAAAGAGAGAAAGGAAATACCTCGGTGTCAAAGCGCACGGTGCAAGTGAAAGTTTTACCATTGTCAGTCCTAACGGTCACATACTGACCAGGGCGAAGTTCACTGGTGGGAAGATCTATGGTGTATCGCTCATGTCCGGTCAACCCAAGTGAATCGGCATCTTCTCCTGCCTTGAAACACAGGGGAATGATTCCCATCCCAACCAAGTTACTGCGATGAATCCTCTCAAAGCTCTTAGCTATGACTGCTTTTACTCCCTGATAAAATCAACATCATATATTCATTCCAATATGTTGAGTACATATATGCTTCACAGTTCACACACACATCTTAGGGCCTGTTTCTCAAAACTTATTTAGAAAGGAGCTGAATCTTCTCCAAGGAAAAACATTTGTGACTCCGAAAATTTCTGAAAGGATCCTATTACACAAAGAGTTAAATAAATGGTATAGTATCATCAATTTCTGCTAAAGTTGGCATAGAAATCAAGCCGTTTCGGGCTTGAATTGAGAAAATGATTGTTCTTGACCCAATGTTGCCACTGTTATTTTGTGGGCCCTAGGTCAAATAAAATAATAGGGCCCTATTTAGATAAAAAATCAATAATTGTGTTTTTGCATAACATGGTATACAAAAATAGTTGCAATTTTAAAATGAGTAATTTGATCAATTAATATGTCAAGCTTATTCTAGTACTTCACATTGGAGATGTAACCGTACAGAGAACAATACAATGGAGATGGATTTAATTGAAGCAAACAAAACAAATAATGGAGAAGATGACAATGCATTTTTGCCTCGCGTGGGAGAAAAAAAAAGTTAAGTATAAATTTTGATATTTTAGGTGATAACCAATGAAATCCAAAGATTGAAAATAATTTTTTAAACAGAAAATAGCATGTAACTAGGAATATTTTGGGGGGCCTTATGATGATGGGCCCCTTTTGATGATGGGCAAAATAAGCATGTAGAAAGCTCAGCTATTTAGCCAAATAAACCAAAAAATGGCTCCCAAATGGAGCTTTGATTTTAGTCAAAACTGGTAGTATGGAAAACTAACCAACAACATTGGTCCCTTGGCAGCCCAATCTCTAGAACTGCCACTTCCATACTCAGCTCCCGCCAATATTATTGTGTCCTTTCCTTCAGACTTGTATTTCTGGAAAACAACGTATTTTTAAGCAATTGATAATATACAACAAGATCAAGTAAAACCACTCCCCCAAGAACAAGCATTCAACACCTACCATCGCAGCATCAAAAACAGAAAGCTTCTCTCCGGTGGGAACATGAACAGTCTTTGGCCCAACTTCACCATTCAGCAGCTTGTTCACGAGGCGGATATTGGCAAAGGTTCCCCTCGCCATAATTTCATCATTACCCCGACGGCTTCCATACGAGTTAAAGTCCTTGCGATCGACACCTCTTTCAAGGAGGAACTTAGCAGCCGGACTATCCTTGTGAATGCTCCCAGCCGGTGAGATATGATCTGTCGTGATGCTATCACCAAAGTTCAAGAGGCAATAAGCATCCTTCACACCATGAGGACCTGGGGGATCCATAGTCATGCCTTTGAAATATGGCGGTTCGTGGATGTATGTAGAATTGGAATCCCATGAGTACAGCTTCGATTCTGGAACGGATAATTGATTCCACATAGGATTACCCTTGGTGATGGCTTCATATGTGCTCTTGAACATGTCAGGCAACACACTGGATTGGACAGCCTGTGATACAAATAGACAATGTCACATCTCATTTGTCTTTATCACTGAAGACAGCTCATACAAAAAAGAAAAATGGTAATAGTGGAGAGAAGCATACCTCGGCAACTTCTTCTGTTGTTGGCCAGATATCTCTGAAATACACATCCTTACCATCATTCCCTACCCCAATTGGATCTTTCTCAAAGTCAATATCAACCTGTACGGTATGAAATTAGAAATATAAGAGAAGCATATCTCATTTATTGGACACTTCGAAGGTTTGTGATTCAAAAATTGCTTCCAACACCATACACATTGAAAAAGTAAACTACACTAGAGATATCTCGTGCCAAATTGAGTGAATATGGTTCCAAATCAACAAACAAATGTTAAAAATATAAATATACACTTAAAATTTGAAGGAAGTAGCTTGACCACACTAGACT